GCATACTTAGGAATATTTTTAATCAGGTCAAGCAAGGGTATATTCACTTCTACTTTTCTAAATGTCTCAAGCAACTCATGATCTTGCCTCTCCTTACCCATTTTCACATTTTTCAAATAAGCATTAGGGAAAGGTAGTTCACTGATGTTTACCTCCTTACCTTTCTTGCTTGAGGCTCCATGATTGCTTGGCTCAGATTCCACAATTGTCCCCTTGCCATTATGTTCTTTTGAGGCTTCTTTCAGCTTTAGCCTCTTCTCCTTGGAGCTTTCAGACTGCTTCTCTTTTGAAGGTGCTTGTGGCAACTCATCACACAAGATCTCCTCATCTATAACTCTTCTCTGAATTTCACTTGCTTCCCGCTCTTAAGGGTAATAGCATTCAAGCCCTTAGGATTGATAACAGTGTTGGAGGGGATTGCGCCACTGCTCCTTGCTTGTTGCTCACTCATGTTATTGGACAACTGAGTTACATAGGAGTTAATGTTCTCAGATTTAGTCTCCCATTGCTCCATCCTCTTTTCCAAAGCACTAAATCTAGCATCATTCTTGGATGAGTCTTGTTGAATTAGTAAAGCTAAGGAGTTGAACTGAGTAGCATTAGCAGCCCTTTCTTCCTTTATTAAGGTCATCATATTTTGTAGGAGTTGATTAGTTTCATCCTTAGGTGGGATAGTTAGGGCTTGAGATTGGTTTTGGAACTGGTTTGAAGATGGACCAGCTCCTCTACTCTTCTGAAATCTATTTGGAGGTCTACTATCCTCATTCCTCCAGCCCAATCGAGGGTTTGCTTTCTATCCCTCGTTGTAAGTGTTGGAGTAGGGGTCCCACTTTTGATTTGGACGGCCTTGAAAGACTGCAGACACTTCCTCATAGTGGTCTGGACAAATGCTAGAAATATGCATGACTGATCCACATGTTTCACAACTAGGCGCTGTAATGTCCATAGGAGCGGATGGGCGATGCACACTCATATTCTTCAATTCAGCAGTGATCAAAGACAATTGAGATGTCACTTTGCTTTCCAAAGAATCTACTTTTAATTCCAAAGCGTCTATTCTCCTACTGTGCACCGAAGCAGCTCCCACCTCATGCACTCCTCTAGTATCTCTCACACCATGTTGTTGATGATTCAGGGCCATCTTCTTTATCAAATCCCAAGCCTCCTCAGCAGTGGAGTCTATCAAAGATCCTCCTGATGCAGCATCCAACATACCTTTCTCTTGGTTCTTCAACCCATCATAGAAGTACTGCACCAGTTATTCATCCGGGATTTGATGATGTGGGCATCTTGAAAGTAGGTCCTAAAATCTATTCTAGTAATCATAGAGAGAATCGTCATAGTCTTGCTTGGCAGAATAAATCTCCTTCCTCATTGATGAAGTACGAGAAGCCGGAAAGTATTTCTCCAGAAATGTCTTCCTTAAGTTCCCCCAACTGTGGTATGCATCAGCTACATGTCTTGGGAGGCTCATGTACCATTCCTTAGCTTTTCCTTCCAAGGATAGATGAAAAACCTTCCATAACACTTGGTCCAATGATGCTCCCACAGGCTTCATACTCTGACAAATCATGGAAAGAGATTGCAGATGGAGGTATGGGTCTTCTCCTGTCAAGCCATGAAATTTGGGAAGAGAGTTAATCAATAAACCTTTAATCTCAAAGTTAACTTCAAAATTTGGACAAGCTGCAGTAAAAGGGTCAAAATTTACATCAGAAGTTGTGGCTTCTCTAATTGTTCTTCTCCTAGGGTTTCCATTATTTTCTCCCACTCTCTCTTGTTCACCATTACCACCATTCCTCACTTGATTAGCATTGGGGTTAGGATTAGGTTGGTTAGGTGGTAATTCAGCTATTATCTCTTGATCAGTAGGCTCACTCTCACTACTAGATAGGCTAGATTCCACAGAAATATTCTCTTGCTCAATCACCAACTCACTTGTCCCCTCAATTCTTTTCTCGTTTCTTATCTCTCTAAGTCTTCTCTCAATCTCAGGGTTATAGGGCACAAGTTTTGTCTTCTGTGGTATGCAAGATAAAAGTCAGAAGAGAAAGAGCAAACAAAATTGACTTGCAGCACATAAAGTCAACTAAAAGCATGCAATGTGATGAATGCAAGTGTATGGCTAAGTATGCAAGTGTATGGGTGAGTATGAGTATGTATGCACAGAAAAAGAAGCAAAAAGTGTAAGTTTCAAAATTTTCCAGAATAGTTTGCCGTAGCGAAAGCAGAGGTTGGCCGCGACGAAGGTTGACAGAGGCAACCAGATATCTGATTGCAGGGAGTTGGCCGCGGCGAAAGCAGGAGTGTGCTGCGGCGAAGGTATCCCGAGAGGAATCCTTAGGTTTTGCAAATAGTTGGCCGCGGTGAAGTGTCACAGAATGCTTATTAGATACTGGACTCCACTGATGGAACGTGAGAGATGCTGAAAATCAAGAAAATCAGTATATTTGTTTGTATTTCCAAAAATTTTGATGCTATGCAAGATGAAAACCTATACTATGAACAAATATGCAACTAAACTACCTAAGATGCTACCCAAAAAGATCAAAACTTCAATTGACAACTAATTAGCACAAGCTAACCTAGAGAACCAATTTCTTGGCTCCCCGGCAACGGCACCACTTGAAGAGAGCCTTTCATCATTTGCTTAGGGGTTCTCACTCAAAAATAAATCCAAGCTATGCAGTATAATGCAAACTCGGGTCATTTCATGCTTGGGAGCCTTAATTAATTACCTAAGTTAGACTAAATGCCATGCAAAGTTATGAAAAGGGGTTTTTGGGTTTTTAACATTTAAATGAATGGTGCCAAAATTGAATGCAATGAAAACAAATCTAAGATACTATGTTTTTGGAGTTTTTAAGATAAAATGATGTAATGGAAGTGATTGATAGGAAATCTCTTGAAAATGGTTTTGTTGGCAATCATGGTTCACTTAAAACACTGGGAGTTTAACAAATCCATTAGGTTTTCTTAAATAAAAACCTCATTAACTCAATGAGTCCAAAGCTTTCATCAATGAACTCATTAATGAAAACTTTGTTTAGCTTCCCTAATGTCTAAATTTGGAATGATCATGCAATTGGCTCAATGTAACACATAATCAACTCAGTACCGAAACATAACCATGCAAGATAGGAGAGAATCATGAGAGTTACAATAAGCATATATGCAACCACATATATATAAGCATAAAATTCTACATCAATCAATCCAAATTACAAATATTAATCAGTAACCACTGATTACAGAATTAACCCAAGTGTCTAACTAAGACTTTACAATTCCTAGACCTAGGAAATCATAAACACATAGCTAGAAACTAAAGATTAAAACTAAAACTCGCCTTTGAAGCTTGGAAACTCATGCTACTCCACCATCTTCAAGAGTTGAAAAGCTTAGCTCATCATAGCCTTGGAATCAGCTCTAACCAGAGGTAGATCTTTAGCCATAACAGTAAGGTGATGAAGGAAATGAAAATGGATGATGAAGAAGTGCAAGAAAATGGAAGGTGAAGGAGATGGAGATGGAGGATTAGGGTTCTGTGGGAAAGATGAGAAGAGATGATGATAGAAAACGTAAGTGGTAGCTATCTCCTTATGTCTGACCTCACCCATACCCAAAATAGGGTTTCTAACCCGAAAATTGCGTGTATGGGTCGGTTCCTAGGGGTGGGTAGGTCAGAATTTCCCGAAATGGTCGGGTCTGAAATTTGTTGATACGAGGGGTTCGCCGTGGCAAACCATGGCAGAGAGCTTTGCTTCTTGACGGACGATGTTCGTCGCGGCGAAAGCAGAAGTGTGCCGCAGTGAACTGAGGCAGATGCTCCTGTCTTGCTTCTTGTGCCTTGAGTTCTTCAATTCTACCCCCAATCTTTAGTGTCCTACAATAAAAAGTAACAAATTGAAGTATTAATTGTCCTAGAAATTAATTGAATACAATTAATAACCAATTATGACAATTTTATCCTAAAAAAGACACTAACTTAAAGTAAGGACTCTTAATCTAAATTAAGCACAATTATCATTAAAAAAGGCCAAAAAATACCACAAAATCATGGATAATGTAATGAAAAGATAACAATAACTTGAGCTCAATCAAGCACAAGCATCAGAACCATCGCCCAGGCTGGCAGTACCAGTAGCAGACCCTGACAGCATCCAACAATGGATGACCCGCTTCAGTAAGCACAACCCACTCTTGTTCAATGGAACATTTGATATTCAAGCGGCGGAAGAGTGGATTAATCGCCTAGAGAAGATCTTCAAGGTACTGGACTGCTCATTAGAGCGAAAAGCCCAGATGGCGATATATAAGCTAGAGAAAGATGCTGATCGCTGGTGGAAAAACACTGAAATTCTTCTTGATGCTCGGAACACAACAGTGACTTGGGAAGTGTTCCTGGAGCAGTTCTATGAGAAGTATTTTCTGAGATCTATCTGAGATAAGAGAGAAGCAGAATTTCTGACTTTGAAGCAAAGAGATGACGAGCCTTTTGATGAGTACTTAGCTAAGTTCATCTGTCTCTCTCATTATTCAAGCTATCTACGATATAGAGATGATGAGAGGTGGACAACAGAGAAGATGGTTCGAGGATTGAGGCCATCATTGAGGGAGATGATTGCTCCCAGACAATTTGAACAATTCAACAAGGTAGTGGAGGCCTGCCGAATCACGAAAAGCAGCTTCAACCATCATCTAATGGTCAAGACAACTCCCAGAGTAGAGAAGGGAGGTCAAGGAGGTCAAGGTAGTACCTCATTTAATGTAAATAAGAAGAGGAAACAACCCTGGAATAACCGCAAGAACAAGAAAGGCGGTAAGGCACCAAAGGGCAAGGACTCTGCAAAGTATGACAAGAATCATGGTGACAGACCATGCATGGTTGGACAGAATGTTTGCTACACATGTGGCAAACCTAGACACTTCTCAAGAGAGTGCCCACAGAACACTAAGCAGGCAAGACCACGCACCCAGGGTCGAGTGTTTGCCCTCACAAGGGAAGAAGCTCGGAAATCTCTGGAGATGATCCAAGGTACGATCATGATTAACAATTTCCCGGTGATTGCAATGTTTGATTCAGGTGCTAGTCATTCTTTTATTTCATTTGCTTGTGTGGAAAGACTTGGCTTGAGTATAAATATATTGCCATATGATATTCATGTGTCTACCCCAACACAGAGTAGGGTAATTACATCTGATGTGTGCTTGAACTGCAAAGTTTGTTATAAGCATTGTTGCACTGCTATAGATTTGATATGCATGCCTTTCCATGAGATTGATGTGGTGATTGGACTAAATTGGCTGTCATCCCACAATATCCTAATGGACTGTAAGAATAAAACCCTAATCTTACCCACGAGAGATTTAGAGTTGAATTCAGAAGTTAGATTGAACTTTATTACAGAAGCCCAAGCGGGCAAATGCCTACGGAAAGGCTGTCAAGGATTCCTCATTTTCTTCTCGGTGCAAGTAGAGGTTGAGGAAGGGATAGGAGAAATCCCAGTGGTTAGGAAATTTTCAAAAGTGTTTCCGATAGAGATCATTAGATTACCCCCAGACAGAGAAGTATAATTCACAATTGACATTGTACCTGGAGCAGGACCAATTTCTAAGGCTCCTTATAGAATGGCTCCAAATGAAATTACAAAACTTAAGAAGCAGATAGAGGATTTACTTGAAAAAGGTTTTATTAGGCCAAGTGTATCACCATGGGGTGCTCCAGTGTTGTTTGTCAAGAAAAAGGATGGTAGTCTAAGGTTGTGCATAAACTACAGGGAGTTGAACAAAGTCAGAGTTAAGAACAAGTATACGCTCCCTAGGATAGATGATCTGTTAGACCAGCTAGTTGGAGCCAGTGTGTTCTCTAAGATTGATCTAAGATCTGGCTACCACTAACTCAAGATTAAGTCAGAAGATGTGCCTAAAATTGTGTTTAGAACTCGATATAGGCACTATGAATTCTTAGTGATGCCGTTTGGATTGACGAACGCACCTACGATATTCATGGACTACATGAATAGGATTTTTCATCCTTACCTGGATCAACTTGTGGTCATATTCATTGATGACATCTTAGTGTACTCCAAATCTCTGAAGAGCATGAAAGGCATTTGAGGATTGTCCTAAATACCTTGAAAGAGAAACAGCTGGTGGCTAAACTTAGTAAGTGCGAGTTTTGGCTCTAGGAAGTGCAATTTCTCAGCTATGTGATTTCCCGAGAGGGAATGGCGGTCGACCCCAGTAAGATTGAGGCAGTACTCAACTGGGAAAGACCCAAGATGGTGACTGAGATTAGAAGTTTTCTCAGACTAGCAGGGTATTACAAAAGATTCATCCAGGACTTTTCTCGAATTGCTCTCCCGTTGACCAAGTTAACCAGGAAGAACCAGTCGTTCTTGTGGGATGAGAAGAGTGAGGCTAGTTTCCAGGAGCTGAAGAGGAAGCTCACTTCTACTCCCGTACTTATACTTCCCGATCCTTCACAACCTTATATGGTTTATACAGATGCTAGTAAGCAAGGACTGGGATGTGTGCTTATACAACAAGGGTAGGTAGTAGCCTACGCCTCACGCCAGTTGAAATCTCACGAGGAGAATTACCCGACCCATGACCTGGAATTGGCAGCGATAGTTTATGCACTGAAGATATGGAGATACTATCGGTATGGAGCAACAATAGAATTGTTTTGTGACCACAAGAGCCTCAAGTACCTCCATGACCAGAAGGAGTTGAATATGAGACAACGAAGGTGGATGGACTTACTTAAAGACTATGATTTTCAGATTAAGTACCATCCAGGCAAAGCGAATGTAGTTGCGGATGCCTTAAGCAGAAAGGCAGTACAAGTAGCATCGCTTATGATCAGAGAGCAGAAGCTGGTAGAGGATTTCAGAGATTGGGGTCCTCTATATCAGATGTAGTTAGTAGAAGGAAATAGAGGTAGAACCCAGTTTACAGCCCTGCTTAAGGATCAAATCAGAGAAGCACAGTCATAAGATTGGCTAGCGAAAATTTTCAAAGAGAAGCTGTTTAGAGGCGAGAATAAGAACTTTGAAATTTCTGAGGAGGGGATGCTGAAGTTTAAAGGAAGAACCTATGTTCCCCAAGTGTCTGACCTCAGAAAAGAGATCTTGGCAGAAGCCCATAAGAGCAAGTATACTCTTCACCCAGGAATGACAAAGATGTATCATGATGTTAGAGAACTTTTTTAGTGGCCTGGAATGAAGAAGGATATTACGGAATATGTGACAAAGTGTCTTACCTACCAGAAGGTGAAGGTAGAACACTAGAAGCCTGCAAGAGAGTTGCAACCCCTGGATATCCTTGAGTGGAAATGGGATAGCATATCTATGGACTTTATAGTGGGGTTACTGGTGATAGCGTCGAAACATGATGCAATATGGGTGTGATTGAGCTCAAGTTTTTATTATCTTTTCATTACATTATCCATGATTTTGTGGTATTTTCTAGCCCTTTTTAATGATAATTGTGCTTAATTTAGATTACGAGTCCTTACTTTAAGTTAGTGTCTTTTTTAGGATAAAATTGTCATAATTGGTTATTAATTGTATTCAATTGATTTCTAGGACAATTGATACTTCAATTTATTGCTTTTTGTTGTAGGACACTAGAGATTGGGGCCAGAATTGAAGAACTCAAGGCACAAGAAGCAAGAGAGGAGCCTCTGCTTCAGTTCGTCACGACACACTTCTGCTTCGTTGTGGCGAACGTCGTCCGTCAAGAAGCAAAGCTCTTGCCATGGTTCACCGCGGTGAACCTATGTTTCACCGAGGCGAACCCCTTGTATCAGCAAATTTTAGACTCGACCATTTCGGGAAAATCTAACCTACCCACCCCCAGGAACCGACCCATACACGCAATTTTCGGGTTAGAAACCCTATTTTGGGTATGGTAAGGTCAGACCCTTATTTTTTAGCCACCACTTACGTTTTCTATCATCATCTCTTCTCATCTTTCCCACAGAACCCTAATCCTCCATCTCCATCTCCTTCACCTTCCATTTTTCCTGCACTTCTTCTTCATCCATTTTCATTTCCTTTATCTCCTTACTGTTATGGCTGAAGATTCACCTCTGGTTGGAGCTGATTCCAAGTCTATGATGAGCTAAGCTTTTCAACTCTTGAAGATGGTGGAGTAGCATGAGTTCCCAAGCTTCAAAGGGGAGTTTTAGTTTTAATCTTTAGTTTCTAGCTATGTGTTTATGATTTCCTAAGTCTAGGAATTGTAAAGTCTTAGTTAGACACTTGGGTTAATTCTGTAATCAGTGGTTACTGATTAATATTTGTAATTTGGATTGATTGATGTAGAATTTTATGCTTATATATATGTAGTTGCATATATGCTTATTGTAACTCTCATGATTCTCTCCTATTTTGCATGGCTATGTTTCAGTACTGAGTTGATTGTGTGTTACATTGAGCCAATTGCATGATCATTCCAAATTTACACATTAGGGAAGCTAAACAAAGTTTTCATTAATGAGTTCACTAATGAAAGCTTTGGACTCATTGAGTTAATGAGGTTCTTATTAAGAAAACCTAATGGATTTTGAAACTCCCAATATTTAAGTGAACTATGATTGCCATTAAAACCATTTTCAAGAGATTTTCTATCAATAATTTCCATTACATCATTATTATCTTAAAACACCAAAAACATAGTATCTTAGATTTGTTTTCATTGCATTCAATTTTGGCTCCACTCATTTAAATGTTAAAAACCCAAAAACCCCTTTTTATTACTTTGCATGGCATTTAGTCTAACTTAGGTAATTAATTAAGGCTCCCAAGCATGAAATGACCCGGGTTTGCATTATACTGCATAGCTTGGATTTATTTTTTGAGTGAGAACCCCAAAGCGAACGACGAAAGGCTCTCTTCAAGTGGCGCCATTGCCGGGGAGCCAAGAAATTGGTTCTCTAGGTTAGCTTGTGCTAATTGGTTGTCAATTGAAGTTTTGATCTTGTTGGGTAGCATCTTAGGTAGTTTAGTTGCATATTTGTTCATAGTATAGGTTTTCATCTTGCATAGCATCAAAATTTTTGGAAATACAAACAAATATACTGATTTTCTTGATTTTCAGCATCTCTTACGTTGCATCAGTGAAGTCCAGTATCTGATAAGCATTCTGTGACACTTCGCCGTGGCCAACTTTCTCCTTCGCTGCGGCCAACTATTTGAAAAACCAAAGGATTCCTCTCGAGATACCTTCACCGCGGCACACCTTTTCTTTCGCCGCGGCCAACTCCCTGCAATCAGATATTTGGTCGCCTTTGTCAACCTTTGCCGGGGCCAACCTCTGCTTTCGCCGCGATGAACTATTTTGGAAAATTTTGAAACTTACACTTTTTGCTTCTTTTTCTGTGCATACATACTCATACTCACCCATACACTTGCATACTTAGCCATACACTTGCATTCATCACATTGCATGCTTTTAGTTGACTTTGTGTGCTGCAAGTCAATTTTATTTGCTCTTTCTCTTGTGACTGTTATCTTGCATGCCACAGAAAATAAAACTTGTACCCTATAACCCTGAGATTGAGAGAAGACTCAGAGAGATAAGAAGGGACAAGTGAGTTGGTGATTGAGTAAGAGAATATTTATGTGGAATCTAACCTATCTAGTAGTGAGATTAAGCCTACTGACCAAGAGATAATGGCTGAATTACCACAAAACCAACCTAATCCTAACCTAAATGCTAATCAAGTGAGGAATGGTGGTAATGGTGAACAAGAGAGAGTAGGAGAAAATAATGGAAACCCTAGAAGAAGAACAATTAGAGAAGCCACAACTTCTGATGTAAATTTTGATCCTTTTACTGCGGCTTGTCCAAATTTTGAAGTTAACTTTGAGATTAAAGGTTTATTGATTAACTCTCTTCCCAAATTTCATGGCTTGACAGGAGAAGACCCATACCTCCATCTGTAATCTCTTTCCATGATTTGTCAGAGTATGAAGCCTGTGGGAGCATCATTGGACCAAGTGCTATGGAAGGTTTTTCATCTATCCTTGGAAGGAAAAGCTAGGGAATGGTACATGAGCCTCCCAAGACATGTAGCTGATGTATACCACAGTTGGGGGAACTTAAGGAAGGCATTTCTAGAGAAATACTTTCTTGCTTCTCGTACTTCATCAATGAGGAAGGAGATTTATTCTGCCAAGCAAGACTATGACGAATCTCTCTATGATTACTGGAATAGATTTCAGGACCTACTTTCAAGATGCCCACATCATCAAATTCTGGATGAACAACTGGTGCAGTACTTCTATGATGGGTTGAAGAACCAAGAGAAGGGTATGTTGGATGCTGCATCAGGAGGATCTTTGATAGACTCCACTGCTGAGGAGGCTTGGGATTTGATAAAGAAGATGGCCCTGAATCATCAACAACATGGTGTGAGAGATACTAGAGGAGTGCATGAGGTGGGAGCTGCTTTGATGCACAGTAGGAGAATGGACGCTTTGGAATCAAAAGTAGATTCTTTGGAAAGCAAAGTGACATCTCAATTGTCTTTGATCACTGCTGAATTGAAGAATATGAGTGTGCATCACCCATCCGCTCCTATGGACATTACAGCGCCTAGTTGTGAAACATGTGGATCAGTCATGCATATTTCTAGCGTTTGTCCAGACCGCTATGAGGAAGTGTCTGCAGTCTTCCAAGGCCGTCCAAATCAAAAATGGGACCCTTACTCCAACACTTACAATGAGAGATGGAAAGCAAACCCTCGATTGGGCTGGAGGAATGATGATAGTAGACCTCTAAACAGATTTCAGAAGAGTGGAGGAGCTGGTCCATCTTCAAACCAGTTCTAAAACCAATCTCAAGCCCTAACTGTCCCACCTAAGGATGAAACAAATCAACTCCTACAAAATATGATGGCCTTAATGAAGGAAGAAAGGGCTGCTAACGCTACTCAGTTCAACACCTTAGCTTCTCTAATTCAACAAGACTCATCCAAGAATGATGCCAGATTTAGTGCTTTGGAAAAGAGGATGGAGCAATGGGAGACTAAATCTGAGAACATTAACTCCTATGTAACTCAGTTGTCAAACAACATGAGTGAGCAACAAGCAAGGAGCAGTGGCACAATCCCCTCCAACACTGTTATCAATCCTAAGGGCTTGAATGCTATTACCCTTAAGAGCGGGAAGCAAGTGAAATTCAGAGAAGAGGAGGATGAAGTTATAGATGAGGAGATCTTTTGTGATGAGCTGCCACAAGCACCTTCAAAAGAGAAGCAGTCTGAAAGCTCTAAGGAGAAGAGGCTAAAGCTGAAAGAAGCCTCAAAAGAACATGATGGCAAGGGGACAATTGTGGAATCTGAGCCAAGCAATCATGGAGCCTCAAGCAAGGAAGGTAAGGAGGTAAACATCAATGAACTACCTTTCCCTAATGCTTATTTGAAAAATGTGAAAATGGGTAAGGAGAGGCAAGATCATGAGTTGCTTGAGACATTTAGGAAAGTAGAAGTGAATATACCCTTGCTTGACCTGATTAAAAATATTCCTAAGTATGCTAAGGTCTTAAAAGAATTATGCACTCAAAAGAGGAGATTTAAACCTAATGAAAGAGTCCAATTACCCTCTAATGTGTCTGCATTATTTAAACCCCAAATTCCTGTAAAGTGTCAAGACCCTGGATCTTTCACTATCCCTTGCACTATAGGAAAGGTTACTATAGGGGGAGCCTTGTTAGATCTAGGTGCAGCCATTAATGTCATGCCTAAGTCTGTATACACCTCTCTAGGAGTTAAGACTCTTAAGTCTACTACTGTTGTGCTCCAATTAGTTGATAGGACTATTAGGTATCCTGAGGGCATTATTGAAGACATTTTAGTCCAAGTTAAGGGATTGGTGTTTCCTGCTGATTTTTATGTGCTTGACATGTCTTCTGAACTTGTAAATGACACTACACTCATCCTTGGTCGACCTTTCTTAAGGACTGCTAATACCATGATTAGCATGAAAGAGGGCACCATAACTATGGAGGTGGGTGATAATAAAGTTTCTTTTAACATATATGAAGCAATGAAACATCCTTATGAGGACTATTCACTTTTGGGGGTTAACATGATAGACATTGCTGTTGAGGATGCTTGTTCTGAAGTTGAATTGCAAAATGACTCTTTCTATTCTGATATTTACACTGATGAATCTATTAATGAGAATGAATCCATCTCTTCCTTTTCATCTCTTTACTCTACACCTTCTACTTGCTCATGTGGTGGTGATGTTACATGTCTTGATTGTATTGTGGTTAATTGCATGCTTTCTATCCCACACACATTTTCTGTTTCCTCCCTTGACTCCAAAGTAGACTTTGATTCCTCTATTATTAGTGATGATTCCCTTGGGGAAAGGTTTCCTGTTGTTGTTTCAGATATGGAAGAAGAAGTCATGGAGAAGAATCCCTCTAAGGCAGTTGCTGTAGATCAACTAGAAGTTGGTTCAACGCTTAGAGAGGAAGTTAACTACAAGGCTGAGGAATTATCATTGGTTGAAGGAAAGAGGAGTAATCTGTTCTCTCTTGAAATTCATAAATTGATTCCTTCTATTGTGCAACCACCTACACTTGATTTGAAACCCTTACCACCCACTTTGAAATATGCTTTCCTTGAGTCTAATGAACAACTACCTGTTATAATTGCTAACTCACTGTCTGAGAGTGAGGAAGAGAGACTCTTATCTGTTTTCAGGGAGCATAGAAGGGTAATAGGTTGGACACTAGCAGATATACCTGGAATTAGTCCTGCTGTGTGCACACATAGAATTTTACTGAATGAGGAATCAAAACCAGTGAGACAACCCCAAAGAAGATTGAACCCTCTCATATTAGATGTAGTTAAGAAAGAAATAACTAAATTGTTGAGTACTGGGATAATATATCCAATTTCTGATAGTGAGTGGGTCAGTCCGGTGCATGTTGTGCCAAAGAAGAGTTGGGTAACAGTAGTAAGGAATGAAAGGGATGAGTTAATTCCTACAAGGGTTCAAAACTCATGGCATGTGTGCATAGACTATAGGAGACTTAATGATGCAACACGTAAGGATCATTTTCCTATACCCTTCATTGACCAAATGTTGGAGAGTCTAGCTGGCAAGTCTCATTATTGCTTTTTAGATGGCTTTTCTGGCTATTTTCAGGTACCCATAGCCCCCGAAGATCAGGACCAAACCACTTTCACATGCCCCTTTGGTACCTTCGCTTATCAAAGGATGCCATTTGGGTTATGTAACGCTCCAGGCACCTTTCAAAGGTGCATGATGGCGATTTTTAGTGATCTCTTAGAACACAATATGGAGGTTTTCATGGATGATTTTACGGTTTATGGGGAGAGCTTTGATCAGTGCCTAAATAGCCTAAGGTAAGCTCTAAAGAGATACATAGCAAAAATCTTGTTTTGAACTTTGAGAAATGTCATTTCATGGTGGGCAATGGCATAGTGTTAAGTCACCTCATCTCTAATAAGGGGATTGAGGTTGATAGGGCTAAAATTGAAGTTATATCATCTTTGCCTTATCCTACTTGTCTGAAAGACTTGAGATCTTTTCTTGGGCATGCAGGGTTTTATAGGCGCTTTATTAAAGATTTTAGTAAAGTTGCCTTGCCCCTTTCTACTCTTCTTAAAAAGGATGTTGAATTTAATTTTGATGAAAAATGTAGACATGCCTTTGATACTCTTAAGTCTATGCTTGTTTCACCTCCTATTTTGACTGCACCCAACTGGAATTTACATTTTGAACTCTCATGTGATGCTTCTAATTATGCAGTGGGTGCTATGCTTGGTCAGAAGGAAGAGAAGCAATCTAGAGTTATAGCCTATGCCTCTAAAACACTTGACCTAGCTCAAGTCAACTATACTACCACTGAGAAAGAAATGTTTGCCAATGTATTTGCTTTAGACAAGTTTAGACAATATCTAATCAATTCTCGAGTGGTTGTGTATACAAATCATGCAGTTGTCCGCTATTTGCTCAAAAAGCCACAATCTAAACCAAGATTGATTAGATGGGCTTTATTGCTTCAGGAGTTTGATATTGAGATTAAGGATAGACCCGGGGCAGTGAATCAAGTAGCCGATCACCTGAGTAGGCTACCGGAAGACACAAGGGGAGTAGATTCTTCTAACTTGACTTGTGATTCTTTTACCGATTTAGCTTTATGTTCTGTGGTTACATTAGAGCCTTGGTATGCTAATATTGTCAATTATCTCATGTCTGGACTCACTCCTCCCTTTATGTCTAGATTTCAGGCACAAAAGCTTTGTAACGAGTCAAAGTATTACATTTGGGATGCCCCTCATCTGTGGAGGATGTGCAGTGACCAAGTAATACGTAAGTGTGTGCCGGAGGAAGATTTTGAACCTATTATTTTCAGCTTGCCATTCCATGGTTTGTGGTGGTCACTTTAGTGCAAGGAGGACATCTAGAAAGGTCTTAGATTCAGGATTTTATTGGCCCACTCTCTTCAAAGACTCTTTTACATTTTGTAGATCTTGTGACAAGTGTCAACGATTTGGGGGGTTGGGAAAAAGACATGAGATGCCTCAACAGCCCCTTCTATTTTGTGAGATTTCTTAGGTTTGGGGAATTGACTTTATGGGACCCTTTCCTTCTTCCCCTGGTTTTGTATATATTTTATTAGCCGTAGATTATGTATCCAAGTGGACTGAAGCTATACCTTGCAGAAAAGATGATGCCCCAACTGTACATAGATTTCTAAAATCACACATTTTCTGTAGGTATTGGATCCCTAGGGCTATAGTGAGTGATCGGGGAACACATTTTTGTAATAGGATAGTCAACAGCCTATTGTCCAAATTTGGTGTCACCCATAAAATCTCTACTGCCTATCACCCCCAAACCAATGGCCAAGCTGAAATATCTAATAGGCAAGTGAAGCATATTCTGGAGAAAATGGTAAAGCCATCCAAGAAGGACTGGAGCTCACATTTAGAAGAAGCATTATGGGCTTACCAAAC